AGGAGACCTGCTTTGTACATCCAGTCTTTTATTGAATGTCCAAAATGTCCACTGAGGAGGTGGAGAAAATGTTCTTGAGGTAGAGTCAGCATGAAGCAGCATTTCAGGCAGAGGAATTAGTAGAAGGTAAGGCAGAGAATCCCAACAAATAGAAAATCACATCACATGAGTCACTCTCATGAGTTATTTCAACAATGCAGCCTGTGAAAATCAGTAAGATACTGTACCTTGGTACTCTACTGCTGTGACCACTTGCTGGTCTTTTGGGGCAGAAAACCCATAGGCCTTATGATCTGAAAGATTAAAACAGACAGGATAATTAAAAATGAACAAAAATTCACTTTCAAATGTCTGAATGGAATGCAATATTCAAGAAAACTGTCCTAAAGTTTGGTGACAGTTTTGCCCAATTCATAACACATAGTTTTAAAGTATCAAAATAGGAAAAAGCAAACAAAACTATACATATTTATTTTCTAGATTGTAGTTTTGGCCTTTAAGCATTTCCCAAAGTAGAATCCTTGTATCTATTTGGACCCCACCACAGACAACACGCTCTTGCCAGCCCAATCATTGAAAAATGTCTTACATCCTTCATTCAGCTTAATATGCAGTCTAGTGTCACACGGTGTTGCCTCACAAATAACAGCTAATTCTTCTTAGTGCTTATTTAAACATATAAATAGCTTTATGAATTTATCCCTGACCATACCTATGTCATATAGAAATGAGTCATTTTACATACTTTTGATGAAATTTGTATATATATAGTATAATATATATAAGTTTTATATGAAATTATGATGAAAAATTCAAGCAGAACATCTTTATTTTTTCCCCCAAAACATTTCAATGATTTTTGAGAACTGGTCTATAGACTAAAGTAACTACTATGGTGGCTACCGCTACTGTGATCTAATAGTTACATGATGCTGCTGTTGCTTATTACCACTCCCTTAAACTAACACAGAAATTTTCATTTAAAAAGGCACCTTTGATACAGATAGGAGACAGAAAAGTGCTGGGTAGGAGAGGGCAGTTCCTTGGCAAAGGCCCTACCCTCAGGCCTGGAGACACACTACCCTAAAAGAGGACAGGCATTCCTGTTTTCATGCCCCAAAAGTTGCCTTTTGTCCCACCATGCCCCCTATCCTGTACCTATATAAACCCCAAACCCCAGGTTCTAGAAGCAGATGAGCAGGCAAGGAGACGAGGAGACAAGCAGACAAATGGCGGAACAACAGGGCAGAGAAAGATAGAAGAGAAGAGACGTCTGAACACTGAGAGCAGTTCGACTGGGGGTGGTCGGAGAAGTGTTCAGCCTCTGGATGGCCAAACTCCAGGAAAAGATCATCTTCCCACTCCATCCCTTCTTCCAGCTCCCCATCCATCCTGCTGAAAGCTACCTCCACCACTCAATAAAACCCTGCATTCATCCTTTAACCCCTTGTGTGACCTGATTTTTCTGGGATACTGGGCAAGAGCTCAGGATACAGAAAGCTGTCACACTGGCCCTCCGCCCACACGAAAAGGCAGAGGGTCCGTTGAGCTGGTTAACACTCAGGCCATCTGTGGATGGCAAGGCTGAAAGGGCACATGGTAACACACACCCACTTGGGCTCCTGCACCTGTTCATCTGCATGCTGTCCCTCCCCTCAGGGATTCAAGCAGCGGCCACTGAAAAGGTGAGCCACAACCCTGTCGCACGTCCTGCGAGGGGGATCAGGGAACTCTTCCATTTCACCTTCACATACTTGCTTTTATGCTGTAAAATTCAATATTCAAAGTAACCTGGTGTGGTAGGCATTATTAGTACTAAAGAAGAAAGTATCAGAAAGTATCAATAAAACTTTGTAATTCCATCTTTGATCTAAATCACTTTCTTTATGGATGTCATTCTATACTCCAGTGTAATGACCACGTTTAAAAATAATTTAAATATTTTCCTATAAGTATACATCTCTAAAATATAAATGCTACAAGCGCAAGACTGTTGCCTGTTATATTCTCTGAAATTAACCCAAACACTCAGAACAGTGCCTGGCATAAAGCAAGACACAATAAATGTTTGTTGAATAAATCAGCTCATTCCTTATTGTATACTAATAAGAAAAGTCCAGTAAATGAGGTCAGATCAAACTGACACTGAGGAAGAGTTCCTGAAGGCAAGCAATTCTTTAGGGTAAGTATTGTAAGTATACAATATTAGATTGGTATTAATTGTTTCAAAGTCAGAATAATGCAAAGCATTATTGTTGGTTGATCTGGTTTGACTGTGTCCCCACTCAAATCTTGTCTTGAACTGTAGTTCCCATAATCCCCATGTGTTGTGGGAGGAACCTGGTGGGTGGTAATTGAACCATGCTGTTCTCGTGATAGTGAGTGAGTTCTCATGAGACCTGATGGTTTTATAAGGGGCTTTTTCCCTGCCTTCACTCTGCACTTCTCCTTGCTGCTGCCATATGAAAAAAGATGTATTTGCTTCCCTTTCTGCCATGATTGCAAGTTTCCTGAGGCCTCCCCAGCCATACTGAACTGTGAGTCAATTAAACTCTTTCCTTTATAAATTACCTAGACTCAGGTATGTCTTTATTAGCAGAATGAGAACAGACTAACACAATGGTCATCTCAAGAAAACAATTTAGGCAAAACAATCCAACTGCTCTCCTTCATTATTCACCCAAAAAATTATACCTGATATAAGGTAAGACTGAATTAAGCCTATCATGAAAAGCTAAAGAAGGTTATTTATTGACTATATATTTCCATAATTTATTTGAAATGCTATTTCTCCACTCATGCTACCATCTGTCCTCTGTCTTCCTGTGGTCTACTGACCCTGTTTTCATTAAGACGACAATGACCTATCTGTTGGCATATCTAATGGACACTTTTCAGTCTATATCTTACCTGACCTCTCTATGACATGTGACTCTGTTGACTCCCTTGTATTCTGTAATTTGATTCTCTCCTAGTCTTTGTCCTTCTGTTCTGATCCTAGTACTTCATTCTGTCTGCTTTGTGAGTTCTTCTTCCTCCTTGTTCTGCCCATCCATCCATCCATCCATCCATCCATCCATCCATCCATCCATCCAGAAACTGCTTTTCTGACTAAACTAGCTCCTTTTTATAGAGTATTTTATACTCTGATTGAGCCAACTAGCATTTATTTGCTAAAAAGTTGTAACTCCATATCTCCAGCTCCAATCTCTCTTGAAATTAAATCTGTGAGGCCGGCTTTCTGCTGGACATCTGTATTTCCATTTCCCACAATTACCACAAACTCATGGGCAAAACTCATCAGCTTGCCCCCAAACTTTGTACTATTTCTGCAAATCTCATCCCTGTGTAAAGCATCACATTCCATGTGGCCACTCACACCAGAAACTTAGGTACTGCCCATGATGCATCCATCTTCTCATCCCTTCATTCATCAGCTTCCATCTATAGACTAAGAATTGCGAGTCATCCAAGAAAATGTTTTGAAGTATTTTTCCTTTCCTGTCTTTCCCATCTCCCACCTTTATGCCACAAAGTGCTCAGGGAAGGGATATGGACAGCCAAACTTGAGAGAGAAAAATAGGGTATTTCCTGCCTTTCCACGTCAAAAGTCCCAGCCATTAGAGTAATGGCAAACATTCAGAATTTAGGCAAATATTTAAGAGAAACCATCATGAGCAAATTACACCTGCTTTCCGGACTTGGAGTACAGAGAAGGAAGTAACTTAGAGGACAAAGACTTTGATGGACTCTTGAGAAAGGATAATAATAGCTAAAATTTATTAAGCACTTGGCGCTTGACAAGTATTAACTCATTTGACTCTTAAAATTCTCTGTGGCAGGGTACCATTTTTGCTCACGTTTTTGAGGGTGGGAAAACTGAGGCACAGAGAGAGTAAGAAACTTGGCCACGGTTATATAAGAAGTAAGTGGTGGAGTTTGGATTTGGACTCAGTCAGTACCTAAAGCCCACATAGTTAATTACTGTGGTATACTAGGCCCACACCGTGCCCCAAGATGAACACGAGCAAAGATTGCAGATTAACAAAGATGCCAGGAGGAAAGGTTCATTAGTCCAATGAAGACAGGAGAGTTTGAGAAATTGGTGGTTAGAATGAAGGCAAAAGACTGGCTCTGGAGCACAACAGAAAGGTGGAAGCTAAGAGGCTGAACTAGGAAAGTAGGACACCAGGGTAATCCCAGAGGGGAGGTCTAGGTAAGGGTTTCTTAATCTTGACACTATTGATGTCTGGCACCCAATCATTCTTTGTTGCAGGGGGCTGTCCTGTGCACTGTAGGATGTTTTGCAGTATCCCTGGCTTCTACCCACTAGATGCCAGTATCAGCATGCCCCAAGTGATGGCAACTAAAAATGTACCTAAACATTAGCAAATGTCCCCTGAGACATGGGGGTAAAGAACTCACTCCTGGTTGAGAACCATTGCTCTAGACTTCCAGTTAGACCAGTCTGAACAACCAGGGAACAGGAATAAACCAATAGACTATAAAGAATGCCAAAGAATCATGAATTCTAGGATTCTGAAAGGTTCCTATAAAATCAGAATTGTATAACTATGAAAGATAATTGATTATACTCCTGGAAAGGAGAAAGGAATCTTTCATATGACATGACATCTCTTCTTTGATTTATTCATCTCTATATACCAACGTGTAAATTTGTCTTCCATTGTGCTAGATTTTATCACTCCTATGCTATTCTGGAGATTTTTCTTTTTTCCTTAAAAGCCTGGACAGCAAATCTAATTGTGAAGTTAAAATTTGCAAAACTACTTTGAGAGGCCAAGGAAGGAGGATCACTTGAGGCCAGGAGTTTAAGACCAGCCTGTGCAATATAGTGATGTCCCCCATCTCTACAAAAAAAGTTTTAAAAATTATCTGGGTATGGTAGCACCTACCTGTAGTCCCAGCTACTTGGCAGGCTGAGGCAGGAGGATCACTTGAGCGCAGAAATTTGTTTGTTTTTTTTTTTTTTTTTCCAATTACAGGTGTTTTATTGAGTAGAGATAGTGAAGTTCCTTATGCTGTTATTTCAAAAGTGTTTCCTGATTTCTTTTTAACGAATGTCTTAAAATACAAGCAATCAGGACCCTTTAAATAAGGCAGTATGTTCACAAATCAAAATAGCTTTCTGCTGGCATCAGTTGATTCAACATCAACATGCAGTGTCCAGAATTAATAAGCGGTTCTTTAATGTTTATTTAAATATATTCCAGAAGAGTGTTTATAATTCATTCACAAGTGCAGTACTGCGCCAGCAAATGTTACTTGATCTCTTGTATAAATAATGCCAATTAAGAATTAGTCCTGGAATAGTTTTTGAATTTCTAGCTCTGTAGATCAAAACCACAATTGTAAATGGTATAAAGATGTAAGAATCACATTGTGATCAAGTCAATCTCAAAAATAGAGAATCCAGACCCTTCCCAGATAATTTAAGAACTGAGAAGTTTTCCTCAACGTAAACATGATGGCCTTTCAATGTGATACAACTATATCAAACTTCAGAATATGAGTATTTAGATGACCAATGTACAGACATTAATAGAATTTAAAAAACACATTTAAATCTGAAGTGGAAAAAAGGCCAATTTACAAAGAATTACGGAGCTTTAATCATCATCAGAGTCTGAATCATATTTCTTTCCTCAGATAGTTTTCTTTTCCAGCTTTGTGAAGTTTGTTCCAAATTTCTTTTGGTTCTGAAATGGTGTCTCCATTAAATTTCCACTGTAATTAAGAATGTCAGAACAACCGAGCCTCCATTCTACACTTTCTGTGGTGAAGTCATCTGTATTTCCTAGGTCAGTAAACCCAACAACATAATCCTGTGTTTTCCCGTCTTTTACCAGTGCTAGTGTGGGAATGACTTTGATACGCAGTCTCTCACAAAGGAAAGGTGCTTCTTCCACATTCAGCTTCAAAAATTTGGTCTCGAGGTGTTTCTTGGACAATATGGCCAGATGTGTGTCTAGTATTTTACATCTGAATGCGAAGTCTCTGTAGAAATGGCAAACCACCTTTTTACTCTCCTTGACTTCTTGAAAAAAGTCTCTTTCACTAGGGATTTCTCTATATTCCCCATGTCCTTTAGAAAGCCATTCTTGTTTCTGCTGTTGAGCTTTCCTTAGTGCCTCAAGTCTCTTTTCTTTAAGGCATTCCAATTCATCCTCATCCGTCTGATCCAGTTTTTGAATTTCAGAATCCAAATGTTCTTCCACTAGTTTGGTAGTCTGAAGCAGCTGATTCTTCAGGACTTTGGAAAACATGTCAACAGATGCATCAGCTTCCATTCTTCTGAATGGTGCAGAGCTCAGCCTGGGTGCTGAGCTCTCAGTGATGTCTGAGAAGTGAGAGAGCAGCAGTTTCAAAAGAGAGGTCCACTCAGGCTTTTGCCTTGCAGTAGCTGCTGGCGGCTGCCGAGCGCAGGAATTTGAAGCTGCAATGGGCTATGATCGCACCACTGCACTCCAGCCTGGGCAACACAGCGACTAACAAATTTTTTTTTTAATTTGCAAAAGTCTATGGGACACAAATTACTTGATTTCTAGTATAACAGGAAAACCAGTGATATGCAGGTTCGATATCTCTAAATGGCTAACATATTTAACAGGGAAACTGGCAAACATGGTGTCTATGTGAAGAGTACAGGACTCAACTGATTTCTATTGACAGTTGTAAATATGTCCATAGAAAATAGTGACCCATATGGCTCAATCCTCGAGAGGTGTCAGGTCCACCAAGGAGTAATTTCAAAAGGACTCTTCTGCTTGTATATTTCAAGAACCAAGAACCATGAAAGGGGTCCATGCCATCTTTTAAAATATCCTTTTCCATACACTTTGATCACATAGCAGCTGTTCTTTCTTTCTTTTCTCTTCCCCCATATCCCTTTCTTCTCCTGCATTCCTTTCTTTCCTAGTTTCTCTTCTGCTTCTCACATGTTATTTTATAGACTCCAAAGATAGAGTCTGAATCTTCAGAGAGCAGAGGAAGGAATGAGACAGGAGACCAAGCCAGAATCCTCTTCAGTGAGCTGGAGAAAGGACAGGACCTTAAATGTTCTTGTTGCTTTACTCCTTCTTTTATTTATTTTTTTATTTTTGAGACTTGAGTCTCACTCTATTGCCCAGGCTGGAGTGCAGTGGCGCAGTCTCGGCTCACTGCAACCTCCACCTCCTGGGTTCAAGTGATTCTCATGCCTCAGCCTCCTGAGTAGCTGGGATTACAGGCGCACATCACCACACCCAGCTAATTTTTGTATTTTTAGTAGAGGTGGGGTTTCACCATGTTAGCCAGTCTGGTCTCGAACTCCTGACCTCAAGTGATTCACCCGCCTCGGCCTCCCAAAGTGCTGGGATTACAGGCATGAGCCACCGCACCTGGCCTACTGCTACTTTTAATGACAAAATCTCTGAACATTTTTGCCAGTGATTCCAATGCCAAACCATTATTCTGTGAAACTTTCGAAGTATACTTTGAAGAAGTCTCTTTGTCCCTTTAGCAACGTGTGAATTAATGCCCTCAGAGAAACTCTACTTATGACTGACAATTCTTGGGATTTTTGAAGTATTTTAGTTCACTTTTTAGACAAAACAATGAAAACTCAAATTCCCTGGAAACCAGTTGAGGAAAATCTCGGGGCAAAATAGGAAAAGATAATCTTTGTTCCCTCTGTATCATCATACCTTTGAACTTTTCAAACACCACACTGCCTACAGAGAATGTTTATTTTCTTCAGTAGGTTCTGGCCTTCCTTCATTTCAGGCAAACTTTAGTACAATCTGAGATTAGAAGATTTAGGAACTGGGTTTCAGGAATCATTGAGAAATAAAATCATTTTCTCTTTCTCAATTCCAGTTTTCTACTTGTTAAAATTTCCTTTAAGAAACATTTCTTAAATTGTCAAAAATTACTATAAAAGTTCTGTGAAAAATAACAGCTGTTAGCTTCAGGAATTTTGTTAATTCCCTTGTACATTTTTCATGTGTATAATAATATTTGAACAGAAAAATAATGCATCACAGATGTTAAAAAAGAGGATTAGTTGAATTGGCAAAAGTATGTAGGCAAAAAATTATAAAGGGCATTAGCTTTAATAAATTAATTATCAGTAGTATTTCTTAGTAGCTGAATATTTATTTCCATATATTTTTTTCTTTTTGTGTGTATAAATTTAAGGGGCAAAAGTACAGTTTTGTTACCTGGGTATATTGTGTAGTGGTGAAGTCTGGGCTTTTAGTGTAGCTGTCATCCAAATATACATTGTACCTATTTTTGTGATTTTTTTTTTTTTTTTTTGAGAGGGCAGGTCTCGCTCCTGTGGCCCAGCTGGAGTGCAGTTTGGCGCGTATCTCAAGCACTGCAAGCTCCGCCTGGGTTCCGTCATTCTCCTGCCTCAGCCTCCGAGTAGCTGGGATACAGCGCCGCCACCGCCCAGTAATTTTTTGTATTTTAGTATAGAGACAGGGTTTCACCATGTTAGTCAGGGATGGTCTCATCTCTGGCCTCGTGATCCGCTACCTCGGTTCCTCCAAAGTGCTGGTATACAAGCATGCGCCACCGCGCTGGCCTTTTTGTGTTTCAAGTATCTTCTCTTTAGCTACCTTCTTCATCTAATTCTATTTATTTCAGGGTTTTACAACAAATTAAGTAAATATTTAAAATGTGTGGTCATTATGTGGAATTATTTGACAGAAAAAGCTCTGAATCTTTAATTTAAGAAGTTGAGGAACAGTTCTACTTGTTTAGCTTTCTAGGTC